GCCATTGGTCCGCAGAGACAATGAGTCTCTTCCCATTGGCCAGGGTGAAAGGCTATGTTCTGGCGGGATAAAGGCTTGATAAGCCTGGTGTCTGTGGGAACGCGTTGCTGGTTATTTTGAAACCAAAGCTAATCTGCTCTCTCCTCTCCAGGGTGACTCCGGAAGTCCGCTGATTTGCCAAGGTTCCCTGCAAGGCCTGGTGTCCTCGGATTATTTCCCTTGTATCCCGCCCTTCGACCCCATCATCTACACGCGTGTATGCAAGTACAGAAAATGGATATATGAAACCATAATAAAAAATTTCTAATCTCTCCAACCCTATGCCCTGAACAGGAAATTGATAGAAATAAAGACATCCATGACTTGCAGCCTTAGTGGACTTTATCATTTGTCAAAGTGACATTAAAATGCCAACAAGCCCTAACCGGTTTTGGCTCAGTGGATAGAGCGTTGGCCTGCGGACTCAAGGGTCCCAGGTTCAAATCCGGTCAAGGGCATGTACTTTGGTTGTGGGCACATCCCCAGTAGGAGGTGTGAAGGAGGCAGCTGATCCATGTTTCTCTCTCATCGATGTTTCTAACTCTCTATCTCTCTCCCTTCCTCTCTGTGAAAAATCAATAAAATATGTTTTTTAAAAAAATGCCAACGATATCCTAATCAGATAGCGTTTCCTTTCATTTTCTTCTGTGACCTGATTGGTCAGGGCCAGGGCAGGGGGTCCTGAGGTAGCCATGGCATCACTTGTCTGAGTTTTGCTGTTTTTCTGGGCCGGGAACTGAAATACAGCTGAGGCCTAGATGTTATCCATAGGGAGGAAAACTGCACAACCAGCCATCTTCTGGGGGGTGGAATATCCTGGGCGTAAGGTCCTTGTTTTCCCAATTTTGCCTCTTACTAGACACCTGGGCTGTCAGCCCTGGTGACCTTCTGTGCCTGGCCTATTGTCCTTGCTCTGCTCAGGTCTGCCTAACTGCCTATCACAGCTGGTTGGAGAAGACCCTCAGTCAGCAGGGTCTGTGGTGATTGCCCAGGGAGCCCAGGGTACCAGGAACCTGCTGATCTTGCCAGGCTCTGAGACACAGGGGACTCCTCCTTCCTCCCTCTCCTCCTCTGGAGGCCCCTTCAAGGCACATGGTGAGAATAGGAGCCCACCTACCCCCGTTTCCACTCCCACTGTTCTCTCTTCCTCCAAACTCTAGTGCTCACTTGTGGCAGGGCCTCGATGGACTCCGGTGTCCTGTCTACGTGCCAGCGCCATCCTTTCTGAAAACCTGCTCCCTCTCTC